GGTTAACTTAGTCTGTCCATCAGCAGTAAATTGAGATACCTGTACATTTAGTAGTTACTTAATTTAAACTTGAAGGTAGTAGTGTCTTCCTTCTGGTTTGAGGACTGGACAAAAGGCAGTAATTGGCATCTTACAGGTTATAGAGTTCTCCTTTGCTGACACTTCTAATTCTTTTATACTAGTATAGCGTTCCTTGGTACTGTATATGCTTGTTGGTCATGTTGGATATTTTTTCCATATACTTTCCTAGCAGAGAGTGATTAGAATGTGTGCATCTATGCTTCTGTTTCCACATCTCTGCCAGCCCAGTCGTATGCCTGAGTCCCATGCATTTCATTTATACTGTGAAGTAATTTGTGCAAAATGTTATATTGCATTTCTCTTACATCCTATAAAAAGACCTTTTGGTCATTAGTTTCTATACTTCTTCCCAGTTCTTGTCCGATATTTATCCCAACTTTTACTGGCTATAACCTGTTAAGGTTATTCTTCCTTACTTGGTTTCTAGATAGTAGGCTTTTATAGAAACAAGATCTTTCTACTAAAATTTTCTTTTCTGTTTTTGTTAATTCCTTGTTAATTACCTGTAATTGTACCTAATAGGTCAGTTGAGCGTAAAATAACCAGGGATCATTTTGCTAATTCTCTGCTCTACTTAAATCCCTGGAAAGCTCTGCCACCTACTAATTTTATTTTATTTTACTTTTTTTACAATATATACTAAACTCCATTAATATTTTCTGTGTTCTAATGGTACAATATCTAATGGAGAGAATGAAGCTTAGATTTCTATGTACAGCAGTTATCTTAGTTACTTTATATTCAGTTTTTGCATCTTGAGTAACAACTTAATTGTCTGCCCTCTATAACACTGATAGAGAGATATGCACAGCTGTTTGCTCCCCCAGGTATTAATCACTTACTCTGGGTTAAATAATAAACAAAAGTGATTTTATTAAGTATAAAAAGTAGGATTTAAGTGGTTCCAAGTAATAACAGACAGACCAAAGTAAGTTACCAAGCAAAATGAAACAAAACACACGAGTCTAAGCCTAATACATTAAGAAACTGAATACAGGTAAATCTCACCCTCAGAGATGTTCCAATAAGCTTCTTTCACAGACTAGACTCCTTCCTAGTCTGGGCCCAATCCTTTCCCCTGGTACAGCCCTTGTTAGTTCCAGCAGACATATTAGGTGAAAAGCAGGGGTGTTCTCATGACTGGGACTGAGTTTGTTCTGTTCCAGCCCCTTTTATATCTTTGGCACAAGGTGGGAATCCTTTGTCTCTCTCTGGGTTCCCACCCCTCCTTCTAAATGGAAAAGCACCAGGTTAAAGATGGATTCCAGTATCATGTGACATGTTCACATGTCCTGTGAGCCCCCCTCCTTTCTTTCAGGACTGGCCCGCATGTATGCAGTGGAGGCTTGCAGGTAAACTGAGGCATCGTAGTCAGTGGGAGCCATCAAGAGTCTAAACCACCATTAATGCACCACACTTTGCATAATTACAATAGGATCTGAGTTATATTTCATATTCCTAATTTCAGATACAAGAATGATACATTCATACAAATAGGACAAACACACTCAGTAGATTATAAGCTTTGTAATGATACCTTACAAGAGACCTTTTGCATGAAGCATATTACAGTTACATTATATTCACACTCATTAGCATATTTCCATAAAATATATGGAGTGCAACATCACAATAGCAACTCCTTTTTATACATCTAGTCATTTTTCCACTTCAAGTATTTTTACAGGAACTCTATGGTTATCATCTCTGACTCTTTATTAGAACCCTAACAGCCTTAAGATCTCTAAGCCTGACCTATTTTTAAAAACATCTTAGTTACAGTTAGTGGAGTTTAGCTGTAAGCTCCACGTTGTCCTGGAGATCATGTCAGTTGAATAGCCTAATGAGGTGAGAATCCCTTTTGCTGTCTTAGTTTTTCTAAAGTTTTTTGAGAGCTTTTTTTGTGCTGCAGGCCCGTTTTGGCTTCTGTCTGTGTTCCACATTTCTCTTTATGTAAGTAGCTCATTCTTTTCCCCAGCTTCCTAGGGTAGGCTTGTGACACAATTTCTCCAGTTGTCTTTAATCTGTGTTTGTAGCCATTTCAGGCCATGTGAACACAAGTTGCAGTTTTATAATAACGAAGTGTTCTCTTTTGTAAAATTAAATTGGAGCAGTGAGTTTAGGCTTACTTACAGCTTAAACTGTCATCCCGTGTCACGATTAAGGCTACGTTTCAGTCTTGGGTATTTTTAGTAAAAGTCATGGACAGGTCACGGGCAGTGAACAAAAATTCCCAGCCCCGGCGTGACCTGTCCATGACTTGTACTATATACCCCTGACTAAATCTTGGGCGCTCTGGGGCAGAGAGCGGCCTGGGGGCGCTGTGGGAGCTCTGGGGTAGGGGGCATAATATGGAGTAATATGGGCAAAAAATCATGTTAAGTTTAGTTAAATATAGTAACAGTATTTGGATGTTCTCACACACAGTTAGCTTCCAACTTATTACAGAAATAGTTCTTAAAATGAGCATCTGAATTGCCTTGCCTTCTCATTTTGTGTATCTATTTTTATGTACTGTATTATGTTTACCTATCTAAACATGCCCATCAGTTTAGTAACAACTAGCTGTAGAATGTAAATGAAAACTCAGTACATATCTTACCTTGCACATTTATTTTTTTAATTATTATTCTGGTAAACTCAGTTTCACACTACTGTAAACATGGTGGATTGAGTTAAATCAAAGCAATTTAAATCACGATTTTAACCCTGATTTAAAATCAACAACCGGGAAATCTTATTTAAATAATCGATTTTAATCTTGTTTTGCATTTATACTCTTTAGCTATGTTCCTAAAGAAAGGATGATTCTCAGTGGTTGATATAATTTGGTACTTTTTGCCAATCAGTAGGATACACTATATATGCGCACACATTATTTAAGCATTTATATAGCTTAACATGCATTTATTCAGAGTCTTAATTTTTACCTTTTTTTTATTGTTAAAAAATGATGAATGGCTCATTTCTTATTTACTTAGATTTTTTTTAACTGATGATTTGTGTCAAGCTGTATTTGTATAGAAATTGGAATTCAGTTAAGTGCACAAAAACAGCGTTGTTAAATGTTTTTAGTTAAATAAAACTACCTTACATGTACTGGATACTTACATAAAAAAATAAGTTTATCGAAACATGTTTTGCATTTAAAACTAGCTCATTATATTAAAGAAAGGAAGTATTATCTGTAGTTATTGAGTTCAAGTGACTGTTTTTGGTCACCACGTTCTTCCAAGATTTTAGAATTAGTAGATTTCATTCTTTCACACCTGATTTTTATTCATAGATTGGAAGAGGAAAACAAGCATTCTTGCTTTTTCAAGAAAATTTCAATTCCCGGTCGGTTTCTCAACTTTGACTGAGCGAGTCATTGAGCTGAACTAGTTGAATAAATTTGAAATTAAGAAAATATTCTCTGTGCACCTGCAAAAGAGGCTACTGCTCTCAAAAGCTGGTTTAGCACTTCAGTGAACTCTAGTTCCAGGTGCTCTGTCAGCCACTTTCACTAGTTCAGTGGTTTGACTTTCTTTTAAAACTTTAGCAGAGAATATGTACTTCTTGAATATTATCTTTTTATAATTAATTTACGTGATTTTAGTAGATTATAGTTTGTTATAATTTTAAACAGGTTTATTTTTAAAAGAAATCTTTTTAATTGAAATAAAAAGAGAATTTTAAAAAATTGATTTTTATGCATCCTGATTGTTTATTTATAGCACAGGGATTGGCAATGTTTGGCACGTGGCCCGCCAGGGTAAGCCCCTTGGCGGGCCAGGCCGGTTTGTTTACCCGCCGCATCCACAGGTTCGGCCAATCACGGCTCCCATTGGTCGCGGTTCGCCGCTCCAGGCCAATGGGGGCTGCGGGAAGCGGCGCGGGCTGAGGGATGTGCTGTCCTCCACTTTCCGCCACCCCCATTGGCCTGGAGCAGCGAACCGTGGCCAGTGGGAGCCGCGATCGGCCGAACCTGCGAACGCGGCAGGTAAACAAACTGGCCCGGCCCGCCAGGGGGCTTACCCTGGCGGGCCATGTGCCAAACTTTGCCAATCCCTGTTATAGCATATCTGATCAACTCTTCGTTTTCCATATAAGCTTTTTGTTCTGTGCCTAGCACAATGGGGTCCTGTTCAGGACTGGGGCTTCTAGGGTCTACTGCAATATAAATAAACAATAATAACAATATTATTAGCAGTATTGCAGTAGCCCCCAAAGGCCCTGCTAGTTTATCGTTACCGTAGATTCTTAGCACTACAATCTGTAATGCATTTATCTTCACAACACCCTGGTGAGATAAGTACTATTATCCCCATTGTACGGCACCGTACAGAACTGAGGCACAGAGAGAGGGGATGACTTGCTCAGGGTCACACAGGAAGTCTGTGCCAAGGCAGGGAGTTGAACCCAGGTTACTCAAGACCGAGGCTAGTGCCCTAACCATTGAATTATCCTTCCTTGCTAGGTACTTCTATATCTATACAGGACAATATGATGCCTTCCCCAAGGAGCTTGCAGTCTATAAATTAATTCAATATATAATTTGAATACTTTTGTGTGTGCAATATTAGTTCATAGTTCTCACTAATGGAATTCCATAAGTGTGCACAAGCATGTACATACAATACAAGCTTCTTGTGTGTCGTGATAAATGCTACTTGGCTTGTGAATGATAGATGGACCATGTCATCCAGGAAAGCCCAGATTAATTAAAGTGAGATTAATTATCAATTATTATTCGTGCTTGTTCTTGAGCAGTACTTGGCCAAAAACATTACAAATAGAAAAATAGCATCTGGATATGAATGAAATATTTGTTAACCTTGGTTATGAATGTGATGAGCAATCATATGTTGGTTACAGGTGGCTGATTGCTTTTATCTACAGTTATAGTATTTTACTTCTCCCCTCACCCCCGTTTTCTTATGTTGTCTCTAGATGCTCCTGTTAGCAGCGTAGCCCTTCGGAAATCTGGGGATTATGTTGTTACCCTAGGAACCAGGTTTGCTGCTTTAAAATGGAAAGACCAGTCAGTAACCACCTTTGTTCACGTTGACAAGGATAAACCAAACAACAGATTCAATGATGGGAAAGTGGACCCTGCAGGGAGGTTTTTTGCAGGTATGCTGGACATAGTTCCCAGTCCTCTTCAGTAATTTTTTTTTAAGATTTTAGGGACAATTTGTAAAGAACCCTGGCAGATGCACGAAGTGTCTGTTCAAGTCGTGGTAGTCTTACTTCCAAACCACACCAAATCTAATTCTAAAATGCAATGTTGATTTAATCCACTTTTAAAAATGTATCACCCCAGAGCACTATTCTATTAGTTTTTTTTTTTTTTAAGGGAAGTTCTTATTTAGAACTTGCTTAGTATAAAAATTATTTTCTTGTCTCAGATGTTGGCATGCATGACTTGTTTTGAATGCACTTGGAAAATACCAATGCAAATATGTTTACAGTGGAAAACTTGCCATGCCAAGTTATTGTTTGTTTCCCATACACAGAATATAGATATTTGTAAAAACAATGTAAGCATACAGCAAAGTGTTTTCAAAACAGGGAGAATGTGTCTGAAGTTAAACCTTGAAATTTCAAATGTATATTAATTTTCTCTTACCGAACAACCCCAAAATTATCTCTATATTTGTGGCATAACTTGTCATTTAAGATTTTGAGATGTCTGTAGCCCTGATTCTAAAGTTAGTGCAATTTTTTCCTATGTTTGTGGGTTTTTCGGGGGGAAGGGCATTAAATTGTGATGACCATCTTAATGTTTGAAAACACTAGATAATTAACAATGCTAGCACGATTGCCTTCAACTCCTTTGCAACCGCAATTAAAAAAAAAAACTTTAATTTTATTTGTCATCTTCTGTTAAATGCACACAATCAAATTTGCCTTCTCCCTTTTGGTTTTAACTAAATCTCTTTTTTGAATGTTTTAAGGAGAAAACCTAGTCAAAGTTAGAGGGAAGTTTTATGTCAGAGGCAGTCATCGCCACTGTATAAGGCAGGGGTTGGCAACGTTTGGCACGCGGCTCGCCAGGGTAAGCACCCTAGCGGGCCGGGCCAGTTTATTTACCTGCTGACGCGGCAGGTTCGGCCGATCGTGGCCCCCACTGGCCGCGGTTCGCCGTCCCGGGCCAATGGGGGCGGCGGGAAGCGGTGCGGGCGAGCGATGTGGTATAAGGAGTGCATTTGATTTCTGTGGAGCTGTGCTTTCTAATGAATGACCCTCTCATTCTTGTAGGTACCATGGCTGAGGAGATTCGACCTGCTGTGCTAGAGAGACACCAAGGTGCTCTGTATACACTCTTCCCTGATCATTCTGTAGTGAAGCACTTTGATCAGGTGGACATCTCTAATGGCTTGGATTGGTCACTGGATCACAAGACTTTCTTTTACATTGATAGCCTGTCCTACTCTGTGGATGCCTTTGATTATGACCTGCAAACAGGAAAAATTTGTATGAATTCTTTTCTTATGCTAAAATATTTTAAAGTTACTTTCTGTGCAGTTTTTTCTTTCAACTATTAAGCAAAAAATCAATTGTGACCCAGACCCTACTTACGCCGGTGGTCCTAGAACATTATTTTTTGAGTTAGTTTAAATGTGGTTTGGTTTCATCCATGCTGGACATCAAAACTCTGTTTAAAACAAGTTAGCAGAAACCGGGTTAAAAAAACAGCTCATCTAAGAAGGTTCCCGGCTCAGAGTAATTAGATGGGTTGGTTCACATTAGGACATTATTGAATTATATATCGGGGTTCAAATAATTGACCTGGAATAATTGTTAAAATTCATTTTATCCATTGCAATCTATGCTGAGCCTGTAAATTGTACATTCATTGATTATACACTCACAATTCACTTCTAATGTTCCTGTGTTATCAAGTGTGAAGCATTTTTGCCTCATTATACTCCAGTGGCTATGCTGTCTGTTATTATGAAACAGTAGGTGAATTAGCAGAGAAGTTTGTAGTGCATCTTTTCAAAGTATAAAACGTGCTACGCTTTTATAGTGTGTACATTCATATTGTTTTAAAATGGAAATCCCTAACTGAAGAAGATCCTAGAGAGTCAACCAACCGCTGAAAAGTAGTAACTCAAACATCATCTTCCCCCATTTATGGGGAAAAAAACAACAACAACAAAAATCCAACACCACAACCTTAAGGTCTTTTCACAGGCATGGGTAAATGGAAAAACTCCACCAACTTGGACTCTAACAATTTGATTTAAAGTGACATGAGCCATAATAATTCGGTTTAAAGGGACGCCATCAGTTGGAAATCTGGTCAGTTTTAAAATTGAGTTTAAAGTAGTTTTAGGTACGATGTCTGCCCCAAGTCCCATTGCCATATTGGAGGTTTACAATCACATTTTTCTATTTTAGAAAGCCCCACGCAGGAAAAGGAAACCTATGAACAAACTGACTCTGACAGTCAATTGTCAAAACGCAGAATAAACAAACTAGAACAGTTGGATTTTCTTTTGTTAATATCTTGTAATAATAGTGGGTGGTTAAATATTCATATAAAGTGCAATTTTTTTTAAAATTGACAGTGTCTCTTTGAGTTCATGGTTTTCCCAACTTTGTTAATTTATATATTTTGAATGTCAGCTTTGTGTTGGAACAATTGGTGGTGTGTTCTGGGAATCTCTTTCTTGAGATGTCTCCAGTTCTCAGTTTGATTGAAAAAATCCATTTATGAAATGGCCCAGACAGCTTATAAAATATTGTACAGATGGAAAAGAGTCAAATTTGGAATACACAAATTATTAATTCCTATAATATATTCAATAGTTCCCTAATTTATAGTTAGGGAAAAAAATATGGTTGACACATCAGAAGAGAGCACCAAAAATAATTGTTGTGTTTTTGACAGTCAGACTGACTTGCAGGCTGTCAAGCTGAATAATAACCATCTGCAGAAACAAACTGATCTTATATACTCTGTCATCTGCAAGAGTGCAGGGAGCTGGATTCAGTGCAGCATTAGAAAATCATCCTTCTTAGCTATTTCTAGGAGTATGACTTAGGAAAATGTTAACTCACAATAACTTAATATCTCACTTAGTGTACGATGCCCGTTGATTTCCTTTTGCAGCCAATCGCAGGAGTATATACAAGCTAGAAAAGGAAGAAAGCATCCCTGATGGAATGTGTATTGATACAGAAGGCAAACTCTGGGTAGCCTGTTATGATGGAGGGAGAGTGATCCGTCTAGACCCTGAGACAGGTAAGTCCTCACAGAGGATGAACTGAAATTTTGCATAAAATAAGCTAAGGGGTAGTTGGATAATGTGCTTTTCTGGAAGTGTGTTTGTGCTCATCTACTGTGGATGAACAGCTCTTATGTTAAATGCTCATTCCAACATGAATTTTGTAAATATATTTACATCTTCTTTGATAATGGCTACAAAAAATGATGTGGGATGATTTAAGAGGAAGAACTTTAAATGAAAAGTTTAGTCTTGTCATGGATATGTAATCTTTGTGATCAGCATGCTAGCTTCTGCTAAACATATAAAAATGTGTATCCACTGAAGAGTTCTGATAGCAACCAAACTTGATGGGTTTGAGATGGGTTTTACATATTCATTAAGTAATAGAAGCTGCTCAAGTATTTTTCCAGCTTGGCCATTAGATGGTAGTGTAGCTGAACTGTTTCTATAATTCCCTACATTTGTTGGCCTTTCGTTGATTATTACATTTGTTTGAATTTTCAGTCTTTACTATACAGTAACTCCTCGCTTAACGTTGTAGTTACGTTCCTGAAAAATGCTACTTTAAGGGAAACGATGTTAAGTGAATCCAATTTCCCCATAAGAATTAATGTAAATGGGGGGGTTAAGTTCCAGGGAAATTTTTTTCGCCAGACAAAAGATGACTGTTTTGTTTTTTTTTGATCTCTCTCTCTCTCTCTCTCTATATATATATATATAATGTGTGTATTTTTATGTGTGTACACACACACACACACACACACACACACAGTATAAGTTTTAAACAATTTAATGCTGTACACAGCAATGATGATTGTGAAGCTTGGTTGAGGTGGTGAAATCAGAGGGTGGAAGTGGGTGGGATATTTCCCTGGCAATGCCTTGCTGCTAAATGATGAACTAGCACTTGGCTGAGCCCTCAAGGGTTAACACCTTGTTGTTAATGTAGCCTCACACTCTACAAGGCAGCACAAATGGAGGGAGGGGAGACAGCATGGCAGAGAATTATAGAATATTAGGGTTGAAAGAGACCTCAAGAGGTCATCCAGTCCAATCCCCTGCTCAAAGCAGGACCAACACCAACTAAATCATCCCAGTCAAGGCTTTGTCAAGCCGGGCCTTAAAAACCTCTAAGGATAGAGATTCCACCACCTCACTAGGTAACCCATTCCAGTGCTTCACCACCCTCCTAGTGAAATAGTGTTTCCTAATATCTAACCTAGACCTCCCCCACTGCAACTTGAGACCATTGCTTCTTGTTCTGTCATCTGCCACCACTGAGAACAGCGGAGCTCCATTCTCTCTGGAACCCCCCTTCAGGTAATTGAAGGCTGCTATCAAATCCCCCCTCACTCTTCTCTTCTGCAGACTAAATAACCCCAGTTCCCTCAGCCTCTCCTCGTAAGTCATGTGCCCCATCCCCCTAATCATTTACGTTGCCCTCCACTGGACTCTCTCCAATTTGTCCACATCCCTTCTGTAGTGGGGGGACCAAAACTGGATGCAGTACTCCAGGTGTGGCCTCACCAGTGCCGAATAGAGGGGAATAATCACTTTGCCCGATCTGCTGGCAATGCTCCTACTAATACAGCCCAATATACCATTGGCCTTCTTGGCGACAAGGGCACACTGCTGACTCATATCCAGTTTTTCATCCACTGTAATCCCCAGGTCCTTTTCTCCAGAACTGCTGCTTAGCCAGTCAGTCCCTAGTCTGTAACAGTGCATGGGATTCTTCCTTCCTAAGTGCAGAACTCTGCACTTGTCCTTGTTGAACTTCATCAGATTTCTTTTGGCCCAATCCTCCAATTTGTCTAGGTCACTCTGGACCCTATCCCTACCCTCCATCGTATCTGCCTCTCTCCCCAGCTTAGTGTCATCTGCGAATTTGCTGAGGGTGCAATTAATCCCATCATCCAGATCATCGTTAATAAAGATGTTGAACAAAACCGGCCCCCGGACTGACCCCTGGGACACTCCACTTGATACCGGCTGCCAACTAGACATGGAGCCGTTGATCACTACCCGTTGAGCCCGACAATCTAGCCAGCTTTCTATCCACCTTATAGTCCATTCATCCAATCCATACTTTTTTAACTTGTTGGTAAGAATAATGTGGGAGACCGTATCAAAAGCTTTGCTAAAGTCTAGATATATCACATCCACCGCTTTCCCCATATCCACAGAGCCAGTTATCTCATCATAGAAGGCAATCAGGTTGGTCAGGCATGACTTGCCCTTGGTGAGTCCATGTTGACTGTTCCTGATCACTTTCCTCTCCTCCAAGTGCTTCAAAATGGATTCCTTGAGGACCTGCTCCATGATTTTGCTGGGGACTGAAGTGACGCTGACTGGTCTGTAGTTCCCTGGGTTCTCTTTTTTCCCTTTTTTAAATATGGGCACTATATTTGCCTTTTTCCAATCATCTGGGACCTCCCCCGATCGCCACGAATTTTCAAAGATAATGGCCAGTGGCTCTGCAATCACATCAGCCAACTTCCTCAGCACCCTTGGATGCATTAAATCTGGACCCATGGACTTGTGCACGTCCAGCTTTTCTAAATAGTCTTTAACCTGTTCTTTCACCACTGAGGGCTGCTCACCTACTCCCCATGCTGTGTTGCCCAGTGCAGCAGTCTGGGAGCTGCCCTTGTCTGTGAAGACTGAGGCAAAAAAAGCATTGAGTACTTCGCCTTTTCCACATCATCTATCACTATGTTGCCTCCCCCATTCAGTAAGGGTCCCACACTTTCTCTGACCACCTTCTTGTTGCTAACATACCTGTAGAAACCCTTCTTGTCACCCTTCACATCCCTTGCTAGCTGCAACTCCAATTGTGCCTTGGCCTTCCTGATTATACCCCTGAATGCTCTAGCAATATTTTTATACTCCTCCCTAGTCATCTGTCCAAATTTCCACTTCTTGTAAGCTTCCTTTTTGAGTTTAAGCGCACCAAAGATTTCACGGTTAAGCCAAGCTGGTTGCCTGCCGTATTTGCTATTCTTTCTGCACATCAGGATGGTTTGTTCCCGAGAGACAGAGACACACACCATGTGTGAGAGAGAGAAAGATATGCATTGCCCCTTTAAGTACGCTGACCCCACTGTAAGTACAATGCCTTTTAAGTAGATCAGCAAGTTGAGACAGCAGCTGCTGCCAGCAGGTTCCCTCCGTTCTGAGCCCTGTCGTGTCCCGCCCCCGCTCTGTGGAGATGGGATGCTGGAGCGGGGGGAGGGGGACACCCTGACATTAGCTCCCTCTTCCCCCCCTGCACAGCAAACAGGAGGCTCCTGGGAACAGCTCCAAGGCAGAGGGCAGGAGCAGCACATGGCAGTGGGGGAGGAACAGCTGAATTGCCAGCAATTGATAGCCTGCTGGGTGGCTGCTGCACAGAGAACTTAGGGTAGCGGGGAGCTAATGGGGGGCTGCTGGTCACCCTGGTTCCAAGGCCCCACCAGCTAGCTCCAACGGGCTGCTCTTTCTGCAAGCAGTGGACAAAGCGGGCAGCTTCCAAACAATGTTATAAGGGAGCATTGCACAACTTTAAATGAGCATGTTCTCGAATTGATCAACAACGTTAACCGGGATGACTTTAAGTGAGGAGTTAACATATTGGTAAATGGTCTGGAAGAAGGGGTAAGCAGTGAAGTAACAAAAATGACTGATGACACAAATTTATTTAGATAGTGCCCCATTTTGACACATGTACAAAGGTTATCTATGTTCCACTCACTTTTATTGTTTAAATTATTTATACCATAAATATAGAATCATGGAACGGAGGTTATAAAGTTCTTTAAAGAGTCCCACAGCATTTTAACTTTCCAGCATGAATAATTCATATGTGCACACTCAGGTATTTGCCTCCCTCATTTTGAATCTTTGTCACATCTAACTTCCCATATTTGGGACTTGGTATGAGAGGTATGATTAAGTTAAGTCAAGCTCAGAAAAGACTGTAAGGAACTACAGAGAGACCTAACAAAGCTAAGTGAACAGGCAGCAGGAAGGCCTATGAAATTCTATTTTGACAGAGACAAGGTAGTACGTATTTTAAAGGAATATTTTAATTGCACAATTTGTCTATACATATTGCTTGATTCTAAATTAACTGACTACTTAGGAAGAAGACCTGAGCATTATTGTGGACAGCTCCATGAAAACCTCTCTGTCTAATGCACAATAGCTGTCAAAAATGCAAACAGAATGTGAATGCACAGGAAATAGAATAGAAAATAGTACTGAAAATGTTAATAAAAATCATTGGCACACACGTGAAATACTGTATTCTCTTCTGTTAAAAATAGCAGAAGTAAAAACCATTCAGTGATGGGTGATGAAGACAATTAAAAGTAATGAAGAGATTGAAAAGTTTGTGGTTGTTTACTGAAGGGATGAATAAGAGGGGTCATGGTAGAGGTGTACAAAACAATGACTGGTATAGAAAAAGTAAGTTGGCTGCTCCTATTTACCCTTTCTTATAACACAAGTACAAGGGATTTTCAATGAAAATGGAAAGTAACATATTGAAAGCTGAGAAAAGCTACCTAAACACAACCTGTAGAACTCACTGGCATGAGATAGAATTGAGTCCAAGAGCAGAATGTATTAAACATTTATATAGATAAGGAGAATAAACCCTCACATGTAAGAGCATAAGGAAAGCACTAACTGATGGGTTTTAGGAAGAAACTTCTCCTTTTGGTAGGTTATTCCACAATTATCCATTATAGTGTTTCTTGCACTTTCTTCTGAAGTATCCGGTGCTGTGCATTGCTGGAGGTAGGATATCAGACTAGATGCCACTCTGATCTAGAGTGGCAATTCCTATGTTTTTCTTCTCTGGAGAAAGTTATAGGGCGTTTAGGTCAATAGAGAACTGGAGTCAAAATGTACTTGGCTGATGTGGGCTTGGACATTTGACACTTGACAATGTTTGTGTATGGTTGGGTTTTTGTTCTGAGGGTTTTTTACTCCATTGTAGAGTTTCGTTTTCTTGCTGTCTTTATTTGAATAGATGCTCCCCACTACTTGTCCTTCTCAGTGAAAGGAGTATGGTGTTACTGTCTTATTCAGACTACACATTTGAAAGTCCAGGGATTTAACTTGATATATTTAGTCTGTACCTATCACTTAGTTTATTTTTGATTACTAATATTCTCACCTTTGTCGGTTTGGACTAAGCAAAGATGTCTTTCGCTTCTATGGTTTGGGTGGTTAATGGCCACTTGATGGCTTTTTATTTGCAAACTGGCTGATAAAAAGGTCTATGGCTTTATTTTTAGCCAGTGGCAGAAAAAAATCATGAAACAATTCAGCTAAGGTGAAGATGACACATTTTTAGAAAGGGGATATTCAGGCATTATTCAGTGAAATTTGGATTTGGGAACATTGGGTGTGGGGGTGGATAGACAAGGAAACTTGTTTATTTGGCATCCTTTTTTTAAGCAGTTCTTGGAGATAACTGGATTACTTAGTGGTCAGGTGGCCCTTGGGATTATAGTATATGCAAGCGCAAACCAAAAGATATCTAGTTTGCATAGTTCAGACAAAATAGGAACCTTTAGTTTGCACTTGCAGTAACAGCGCAGCACAGTAGAGTGTGCTGCATTTCACACCCCCGTAGTTGAACTGTGGGGATGTGTAGACATGCCCTCAGTTTTCAGTTTATTTTAGGTATTGTAAAAATGTAAGATGCTATTTATTATATAGATGCAGGGAGCCCAAGATGCTTCTCAAACCATGTGGACTATTCAGAATATACACGGGAATCTTTTTTGTCCATTAGTGAAGCAGACTTATCTTTGTGGGATTAATTTTAAGGTAGTTTTTTAAATGCATCTAACTCTTGTGACAAGAAATTTGCAAAGTGTTTCAATGAGACATGGAAAAATCTCACTCATCCTTTTTTGAAATCTCATTTAAGGACTTGATTATCAAACATGGACCAAGTAACCATTGTTGTTTGTGCTGGTACTTCATTTAGAAAAGGAAATAAGAGTAGCTTGTGGGGTGAGGCAAAAATGCTTTGTTGGCAACTAAAATAGTAAACAAAATTATCTGTTTATTTAAAACACAACGGTGAAATCTTGGCCTGGTGAAGTCATGGCAAAACTCCTTTTGACTACAGTGGAGCTAGGAGTTTTCACTCCTGAAGTATTTCACCATAAAATGTTGTATTTTAAACTTTCAATACATCATTACATTGTTTCTATCTGCAAGGCTTACCAACATAAAGGGGGGGGGGGGAGAGAGAGAGGAAATGTATTTAAAGAAAACACAAGACCTTAGCAGAATTCAAAAAAAGTATGAAATATCTATATGATAAATAGGATAAAATATGTAATGGGTATAAACCCTCATGATTCAAGGCCTAAGACAAGTACTTACTGCCTGAAATTAAAAAGAATTTCCCCCTGTATACCTGTTCGTTATGAAGTTTTTTAAAACTTCTTTTGAAGCATCTGGTACTGTCCACTGCCAGAAACAGTATACTTGGGCTAAATGGACCACTGGTATGTCAGTATCCTGAGTCTCTGTAATAATTATATAGACATCTGAGTGTTTTACAAAGTTCAGATAAGCATTATCATCCCTGTTTTATGTAGGGCTGATCCAAAGCCCATTGAAGCCTATTGTTGCATGTTTGAATTTAATAATAATACAGGATGTCAAAACAACAGGCTCAGATGGAATTATTTAAAGATTATCAAAGATTAATACAGCACTATGCAGAATACAGAAGCAAAGTTTACTTTACCAGTCTTTGTGAATGGTGAATAGCTGACACCCTGTTCTCTTCCCCCCCTCCCTCCCCTGTAAGTGGTGGAATGCTGGCAGTTTCCATTTGCAATCTAACTCCCAGAATCTTTCCTTTTGTAGGGTGTAAGAAAAAGAAATTCCTTTTGGAGTGAAAAACTACTTTCCCACAATGTGTACAGTTTGATATCTCAGTTTACCTCTTACCATAAAAAGACATTATATAAGTATCTCAGTCTTGATTGATAACCCAAAGGGACTTTTGACCCAGTCATTATTACTGACAGCTGTGGCCACAGGTAGTTGCTAATGAGATAAAACTTAAAACATCTTTCAAGGGGCCATTATTTCATTCATTACAGAAACATCTGCAATAACAAATACCTCTTACCAATCACAGAACTTAATTGGATCATAAGCACCCCTTATCAAGTACCCAGTCTTATTTATTATAACATTTACTTCTGTAGGGTCCCTTCATTAATTTTGAGGGATACCTTCCTGGTCATCTGGACTCTCTGACGGAGAGATTCAGGGAATAATTAGGTACATCCCAATATTTAATTAGATACATTCCTGAGCGTTGCTCACATACTAAGTTCAGTTTAAGGATACAATTTTTCACCTTCGTAGGTACAGGGGACTGCATTTATAGGCACACAATATAAAAAGGATTTTGGGTGACAGATAACAGAATTATGAGAGTTTAACATACAAAAATAATGAAAGGCTAATATTTATTAACACAATGGAAAAAGACGCCTACTGACTTCAGTATGCTTTGGATCAGGCCCCATTTATGGAAACAGAGATTAAGTGACTTGCCAAAGGCTATACTGGGAGTAAGTGAGAGAATCAAGAATGGAACTCAGAATTCCTCCCAACCTCACACTCAGCCTGCTAAATTACACAAGTCTCCCCCTTTTCCCTCCACCCCAAACCCTGTATTTCTGTGCAACATATGTTCTGTGCTGGTTACTGGCAATTTTGTTAAATTCTTTGTAGAAAATAAACCAACAAAAAGCTATTTTTTCCCCCTCCAGGAAAAAGAATCCAGACTGTGAAGCTACCTGTTGACAACACAACTTCCTGCTGCTTTGGTGGAAAGGATTATTCAGAAATGTATGTGACTTCTGCCTGTCAAGGAATGGATGATGAATCGTTTTCACGGCAACCACAGGCTGGTGGTATTTTCAAGGTGATTAAATTATTTCCTTTCTGTTAAAAGGCCAGAAAGAATTTTCTTATGCATTTTGATTTGAAGTCAGGTGGAGGTCAGTCTGAACATACCATATCACTTAAAACTATTGTTCTTGGTTTTTTGACTTTTTTAGTTTTTTGGTCCCTACTGCTGTATTTAGAAAATTGCTAGTCTTTTCATGTTTACATTGTGGACTGGTTCTAAACTTGTAATAATACTGACATTGATGATTGTACAAGACATTAGCTTTTTCTGTACCAAAAACCCTCTACTTTTAAAAAAATTCCCAACGCTAGCAGGGCAAAAACTTGTAGAGAATTTTTGTTTTAATCAGAGACAAAGTAGGAGACAATGTGTTATCTACCAAACAATTATTTATAACTTAGTTTGCTAGTTTGTTTTTTAATTGGTGACTGGCATAGGGCACACATGCCTTGTAGTGCCCTCTGCTCACCAAGTGTGGTGCTGCATGTGCCCCCTGCCTCAATTGTCTCTCCCCTAAGTTTTCTGTTTCTCCCAGAGATTCATGTGACTCAGCTCTGCAGCTGGGTCACTCTGAGTTCAGCCCCCTTCTGGGGGAACGGAAGCCCAAACAAAGTTCTTTTGCCCTGCTTGGGCTCCTCTTCGGCCTATCCTCTGGGCTCAGTTCCCAGCCCCTTCTGGACCACCTTTAAGTCTCTCTGCTCTGGGATAGAGCACTGACTCCCAGGCTGCTTTCCCTGGAGCCCCCCTCACAGACTCAGCCCCTCTGGGCTACCTTTCAGTCTTCCCTGCCCTAGGATAGAGGGCTGAATCTCTTGTTTCTTCCAGACCCTACTTCAGGGCCTTTCACAGGAGCCCATCTTGCTCCCTGTGGTTCCTTCCCCAGACTGAGTTTTCTCAGTCCTTTTATGGGTCCCAGGTGTTTCAGCCTTGTCCCCTGACTCAATTAGTCCTTATCCTGGCAGGCAGCTAATTGTTGCACAGGCAGGGCTGATTGAACAGGGTTGGCTAGCCCCAGGCCTCCTGGCTCTTATAGGGGCAGGCCAGCCTGTTGCACAGACCTTGTGGATTTAAAGCCCTGATCCTGCAATTAACTGCATGTAGGCACACCCCTGTAGCTGTACACAATCAATTCTAGGATTGAGGCCCAAGTATGTTTGAAAGAGGGTTGTCTGGAGAATGGACCATGGCTTAGATATTACAGTTCTTTGGAAACAGCAGTGGGTTGAAATTAATATCTGGTGATGGGCTGTAATGTAGAAAATTGCAGGATATCAAGTTGGTCGCAGTCGTAAAACAAATTACTCTGTGGAAAGATACATGAATCATCACAATTATCTTCTGTCTCTCTCCCTTATTTTTAAATAGATAACTGGACTTGGGGTGAAAGGAATCCCACCGCATTCATTTGCAGGTTAAATATTCACTCTTCAGAACACAGTACACCTCCAAAAGCAGGAACAGCTTAAGCAAGAAACATATTAAAGAAGTATTTTAGCTGGAATTCTGCATCTCCTGCATTTGAAACCACAGCTCTGTGGGTAGACTTCTGGCAGAAACGGATAAATGAGGCAACTTTTGAAATGCATCAAATTTTTTCAAAATTCTTTATTTTCTTGGACTCCTGTGTAACTTTAAATATCTCCTGTCATTTTCTATAACACTAAAATCACTCTCATCTTAATAAACTTTGGAATATAACTTGAACAGTGGTACTTTTTTTGCCTTTAACACATTTTTTTCATATTGTTTGCTCTACCATCCCCTTTCTATTTGTAGCTTATAGTTTCTGTCAGGGATATTTTTAGTAAAAGTCAGGGACAGGTCGTGGGCAATAAACAAAAATTCCCAGCAGCCTGTGACCTGTCTCTGACTTTCACTAAAAATATCCCTGACAAAATGGGGAGGCAGGTTCAGCATCCACTGCTGCTGGGGCTCCCGGGTCCCCCATTGCTGCGGTCAGTGGGAGCTCTGGGGTCCACTGTTGTGGGGAGTGGGAACTACAGGGTCCTCCTGCCCCTGGGGCTGGGCAGCTGCGGGTCTCCTCACTCCTGAGGTGGCTGGGCGCTCATGGGGGTCGCCCGCCGCGGCTGGGAGCTGCAGGATCTGCCTGCCACCAACTACAGCTGGGCGGCTGCAGGGTTGCCGCCACCAGTGCAGGGGCTGGGAGCTACAGGGGGGAGTGGGGAGGGCTGTTTGGGAGCTCCAGCCCGGCGGTAGAAAATGTCACGGAGGTGAGTGGAAGTCACAGATTCCGTGAGCTCCGTGACATAATCGTAGCCTTACTTATACCGTATTGAGTCACTGATTAAACATTTTTTTACATTCATTTGCTTGCTATCTCTCTCAAACCAGCTTTCAAAACTTCACATAAATTATCCAGTGTACATTCACAGTAAAGCAAATATTTGTTACTGTAATATAACTTAGCCCAGGATGTTTAATTTTAAATAGATAGCTTGTTTTATATAGTTGGTTTTCATAGGTAACTTAGACTTTTATTGGTTAAATTAGTGCCTATGAAAGGTGTCTACTAACTGCATTAGCTAACATAGCCATCCCTGTAACTTCAGAATAGGAGCAGTAACTACAGTGGGCAATGCAAACTAGCTTGCACTATCCAGGCAATATAGCTCTTCACCTTCAAGAACCTGGTTTCATACATCTCCCATGTCCATCCATCTCACGCGAGTTCACCTGTAAAAGCATTGGGGGTGAAGGGGTTGTGCTTTTCTTCTCCTCAGAGCAGTAAAGAGGAGAGGAGCTGTTTTCCTCTCAAGTTCCTTGTTTATGTTCTGAGGCATTAATACAGTTCACCTGCACAAACATCTGTTTTTGTTAGATTTCATTGTTGAATGGAAAAAACAATCTTATCCACTTAAGGTTTTTATACAGTACCGATTATGGTTCTTCCTAAGTGCTACACATACAGGTGACCAGAAAAAAAAAATCTGTGGAAAATTTCAGTTTTTCAATAAAAATTCAAATACTGAAAAACTTTGTCTGAAAACTGTAAAATTTCAATTTGGAAATGCTGCCACAGTGACTCATATCCTTTTTTTGTTTTTTTCCTCCTCTGTACGCTGGGCATCTTGGTCAGACTATATCTCCCGGAGAGTCCCGGGCCAACGTGTATCATGGGAGATGTAGTCTGACAAAAGAGCCTGGCCTATAGAGGAGAATGAAGACATGTGGCAAGCAAACTAAAACTCCCATGAAGCTCCACGGCAGCATTTCCAAATTGTAATATTTAGTTTTTTGGCTTTTTAGCTTTTGATGAAAAATCAAAATTTTCCCCAGAAAGCCAACACTTCTTTCATGAAAAATTTTAGTTGAAAACCCAATTTTTAATCAAAAACAATTTTGACCAAAAACTTCTGAAGGAGCATAAAAGTCCCCTTAAAATGTTGCATTTTCCAGGGCAACTGGGTTACAGAAATTGAGACTATATCAGGATTACTGGGAGCTTCTCATAAATATGTGAGAGTAACAGAGATTTTATCCGTAGAAGGCTTGGAGGAATTTGAGAAACTGTGTTGAATGGACATTGCTGTAAGAACCTGGATAGATAAGAGGATAATTTAGAATATTTGGAGCACTATTTTTAAAGGTGAACTGCTGGCATAGTGTCCCATCAGGATTGGGTACTGAAATTTCCCCATTTGGGTTAACAGCAACATCTGTTTTGGAAGCAATCTGTTTTATTCCAGATAGGCTACAGACTTTAATGGCAGTCGGGGAAGAAGGACAGTAATTATCACTTGCTTCAGATCCGGGAGAAAGGACAATAATTATTACTTGCTTCACTTTTCAGGAGCACAACAATATTTTGCAATGAACAAGGCTGACCAAACTAGTAAGTGGCAGAATGAAATGTGCGTGTCTCTCTTTCCAGATAATTGCACACCAGCTGTGTATTTACAGGATGCCAGTCGCTATGGTTTGGGGCTACCAAACTACCGGAAAGGATTACATGCTTGAGTTTCTCAATCTCCTGACCAAGTACAAGAACAGAAGATTTTAACATCAAAATCGGATGTTATGAGAATACAGTAAAGCTGATACAATTCAGTTTCTTATCTATTAAACTACCAGCAATCAATACAACAATTGATGCCTGCAGTTTGAATTTGTAGTCAGTTTTTTTTTTTTTGTTGTTAATTAGAGTTAACTGGTATTTTTTTTTAATCTTATGCAGGATATAACATCTGAACAGAAACGGGCAGAAAACAGTGGCTCTTATGCATATGTCACAGTTATAGGGCTAGCTGCACATCTGTCCCACTTTTGGTATAATCTGAAGGGATGTGCTGAGGCAGGGCTCTTGCCCTTACCTGACTTGGGGTGGAATCTCGCAATCCTTCAACTCTTAGTGTGGGACCTGAATATGCTACTTGTATGTACACCAACCACATAGCAGCCTGCAGACCAGACTGGGTTTGAGCATCTGCACTTTTTTCCTTCAGGAACCTGTGACCAATAATAAAGTGACCAACAGCCTTCTTCAAACAAAGCATTTTTATTTAGTAGTTGGAGTAAAGCGTTAGAGAGGATTTCAAAGCAACAGCATGCATGTATATTTAGTCTCATCTAATCTTACACTTCAGTACAAGCTAAATTGGATGAGCTTTCCTCTTAAATTACAGCGACAGAACTGAACCAACTCCTAGTGTCTGAGATAGGATTGTCATCTCTGAGATGCAGAAAAACCAGCCATAAGCCACTCCCCCACCAACAAAAAGGGTCTTAGTGTCGACTACAGCTACTTATTACTAAAATGTTTGAGAACCATTTTACACAAAAAAAGCCCTACAATATGTGTACGTTTATCATCATTTTTCTTACCTTAGCCTAAGACAGTGTCACAGTCTGAATTATGGAGGTGTGTATCAGAGCGCTCTAACGTGTCCCCTCCCAAGTAGGGGGGAAAAAACTGTCACATTAAATCTTTTAATTAGCCAGACAGAATGAAAACTGCCCAGGTGGCAACCCTAATTTGAGGGGGTGTAAGTCTAGTTTTTCCTGTTAGCTCTGGGCTAACTGCACCTCTGACCCCTCCAGTTCTCCTTAAGTGCACCCTCTCTCAGGCCTCGGGCCTATCACCTCTCTAAGTGGGATCACACAATTCTGCTCTCAGACCAAGCTGTGGGCTGCAGTCTTCTGTGCATGAACTGTGATTACCTCAGCTAGGCCTCACTAAGACTCTATACATGCAGTGCTGCTCCTTCCGGGAGCCATGACTAGTGGTTAATACAGTGCCCAGGCAGCCTTCTTAAAGCAAAGTATTATTTTAGAACCAAAACATTTCAGAGAAAACAGATCTTAAAACAATAAACAGGCTGTTTGCTTATCTTTTCCTAAGGCAAGCATTCTCTGGGACCAGGAAGGGCCCAGCTGCTTTCAGACACTCCAGCCGGTCCTCTGTCTCCGTTCCATCCCAGCCTGGTCTCCCCAGGAAGAGCACACCCCACTCACACACACTTGCCCATGCTGAAATAGGCCAGATCTCCAGAAAACTCTAGCATCATGCACCCTGCTTTTACATCCAATATAGGTATCCATGATGAATATGCCATGGTACTCTACAAGGACCTGCATAACCCTGGAGTAGTATCCTTTCCTGTGAATGTGCTTGCTTGATTGAAATGGCTGCATAGGATGGGTATGTGTGTGCCATTGATCACACCTGCATAGCTCAGGAACCACATCTGTTCAAACCCTACAATTATTAAATAAATTTGTCCAATTTTTAAAACCTTGGAAGACAGCACAGCATTAATTGCTTCACAAACCTCCATGGCCACTGTGTCAATCATGGATTTGCCTACCATTAATTGATTACCAACAGGTTGGTAACAGTCTGGGGTTGTGAGCTTCCACAGTGCTATGCACCATGCTTCTAGAGTGGTTATGAGCTCTCTCCTCAGGTGTTTTGCTACTCAAGACCTAAGATAAACTCCCCTCAGCTCCAGGTGGACCCTGGCTTTCCACACAAAAGTTCTGGACCCACTGTTTATCATCTCATGTTTCCAGCACAACATGGTTCCACCAGTGTGTGCTCGTGGTCCTTGGTCCAGAAGCAGTGGTCTGCATAGGAAAGATCTGCCACAGAAAAACATCATCAGCTCGGTCCATGCCTCCATCTCCCCATGGTCCCCTTCTGTTCTTGTGCTTCTGTTTGTAATCCCGTGACTCTATCTTCTCCAGGCTAAAAGCAGCCTCTGAAATACACACCACTGTCTCTTGGCAGCAACTTCTGCAGAGGCATGAAAAAACTTCTCCATAAAAAACAGTAGCTGTCGGTTATTAGAGTGAGCAGGATCCGTTATCTTCTGCATATCACACAATACCACGGGGTCTGCCAGAAAATGGATTTCCTGGCCCCAGATCATTTCCTCCCACAATCCTTAGAATGGGCAGACGAGTTGCCTCTCAGC